TAGTGATATAATTGAAGACATTTGATATCAGTATCCTCTAATATATTTGAAATCGTCAGATATAAAATTTGCATTAGTTTTTAATGGCATTACTGATATGCCCCATGCTAAAAAAAATAATATGGTCGAACATTGGGATGTTTCTTTTGTGAAGGGATGCGTGCGCAATTTTGAGATCATTATTATAATTCAATATCGCCATTTTATCATATATATATACATATACATTTATATCTATCTCTCTATCTACACACACACATACATACATATGTATATATTGCTCCAATGATTTTTTTTCCTGCCACCCTAAGAATTTTTGGGCCGAAGCACCCGTCCCTGTTGCTGCCTGCCCAAACCCCGCCCCTGATCCTACACAGCACCTTCATAAAAAAAGATGACCACCCAAGCCAGTCCACCCATTCGTAACGACCCCCCCCCCACCCTCGCCCCTCTTGCAGATTGGCCTGTGCCTCCCGACAGCAACTCCTGCCGGACCGTCGTCTGGAAGCGCGACCGCTTTCCTCACGGCTGTACGTGGCCGCGGGAGGACGGGCCCCTCGGACAGACGACCTTCCTCGGCCGCTTGCTCTTCAACAATAAAGGCAACAGGGCCAAGCTAAGCGAAATCCTGAAGAACTTTGGGGAATATGCGGCCTTCAGTGACCAGGCGTCGGCGCTGAAGGCGGGGTCGGACCTGCTGAAGAAGCAAAATGAATCTCAGTACTTGCAGATTGCCGGTGAGGCCGAGTTTTTTTAAATATTGTTAATTGAAGAAATGACTCCTAAAAATATATATTTTAAGTTATAAATTGGTGTTCACTCATTTGATGACAAAATAGTTTGTGTTAAATAGACTGATATTATTCGTCTAATATGTCCACGTGGGGAAAAAATCAATATATACTCGTTTAATCAGTGAAACAATGTCCAAGTAGAAATATATATATATATATATATATATCTTTCCTTATAACCTTTGAAATCATATTCAGGTAGATTTGAAACAATCTTATAAAGGATATCACTATTTACTCATGAAACCGAAATAACGTCCAGATAGTTAACGGGGAAGGCTAGATCAGTAGCAACTCCAGGTGTCATGGCGTCTGATTCTATTTTTGGGAAAAAACACATGGAGTTTATTTGATGACGTCACTAAAGTTACGGATGCTTTGAGGGGGATGGATGTGTAAAGATGGATATAACGGAGACTACATTTCTTTTCGTGAAATTCACAGGGATTGATTTTTTGGTCACTTTTTACGTTTATACTTTTTCTTTAACATATTTGGCTATTTGATTTTAGTCTTTACAATCTTCAAATAGTATGGGAAATAATAACTCTAATGGGTTATATTTTCATTGAGCAACCATCAAAACAAACGCCATGACTCCTCCTCCGAGTTACTACTGATCTAGCCTTATCCGGTAGTCAACCAAGATATAGCCACCCCTAACGCCATCTACCTTCGCGTCCACTAATTCTCGCTCGCCTCCCCAGGACAGCCTCACAGCGTCCTGGTCTACGTGACGAAGAGGGGCGACTGGAGAAGTGGCGGGACGACGACGCGCTCGTGAAGCAGCTCGACGCCTCGCTCGACCTTGGCATTTCCATTGTGATAAACCACCTCTATGGTGCGTCAGCTAGTTATTTTCTATGAATATGTAAGATAAAAAGTAATTATGTAGTGATATATATAATATACATACATATAAATATAAATATAAATATATAATATATATGTATGTATGTGTGTGTGTATGTGTGTGTATATGTGTATGTTTGTGTGTATATGTGTATTTGTGTGTGTGTATGTGTGTGTGTGTGTATGTGTGTATATATGTACGTTTGTGTGTGTGTGTATTTAGATATAATCTATGGACACACAAACTGCTGTTTTATGAATACATAAACATAAACGAGAGCAATTTTACAGTAATTTTTCTTTAGATATAATCCATGTACAATAAACCAGTTTTGTTTATGAATTTATGAAAACAAGATCAGTCTTGCAGTGTTTCCCTTCTTCTTTAGATAATCATGACCCATAGACATGTAAGTGATTTCATAAAGTACTGAATATTTCTTGTTTAATACGTGCGTGTCGTGGCATTTTGTCTCTCACGCGCGTGCTTTGTATTTCCCCCAAAGAGTCCCAGGGCGTGAAAAGGGGAGTAATAATGGAGAAGAACGGCGCCACAGTCACGTTCTCTCCGATTAAGGATAATGGGGAGTTGTACGCGTCCGAAACCGAGATTCCTAGGTATGTTATTAAGCCTTAAGTGTGTCTCTTGTTGATCGTTGTTCTTTCCTGGACCGTGTGGGGCTCCGGCAAAGGCCAATTGAACCCCAAGAGATTAAAATTTCTTACTGTTATCTTTTTTCTGTATTCTTAACACGACCACCGCCGTTATGTTGTTCGTCATTAGCGTTATTATTATCAACCATCATCACCATCACGAATGTCAAGAAAACGTTTGAATGGCCAGAGTGAAAATTCAAAATAGAAGACCAAAATGAAATATTAACAATAATTCAGCGTCATCGTAAATATTTTCATTTTACTCACACCTCTTTCCCCCCACAATTAACCATTATTAGACTCCTTTTCAAAAAAAAAAAAATAATAAATAATAAAAAAATATAAAAAAAATAAAAAATAAAATAAATAAATAATAGGAACTAGAAGTAACCACCCTCTTCCTCTCTATATATAGAAAACGGCTCACCCCCATCTAAGGAAAGAATAAAAACAAAATAAATAAAAAAATAAATCACCACTCTCCCTTTCTCCCAAAGCTATGGCCTGGAGGATGGCAGCCGACCTGTTATTCCATACCATACTATGACGCCTTCGGGCGGATACATCATCACTGTGTGCATGACCCTCATGCACAACAGATCGTTTGTGGGCACCGTCTGCTCCGATCTGAGCATCATCAACTTGCTCGAAGCGGTAATCAACGTTGATGGTGGGTGTTAGTCTGTACAAGCGGCGAACAGACACACACACGCACGCAGACACAGACATATAGACAGATAGACAGACAGACAGGCAGGCAAGCAGGCAGGCAAGCAGGCAGGCACACACACACACACACACACACACACACACACACACACACACACACACACACACACACACACACACACACACACCACACAACACACACACACACACACACACACACACACAACACAACACACACACAACACAACACACACACACACACACCACACACACACACACACACACACACACACACACACAACACACACACACACTTTCTCTCACTCATCAACACGTAATTCATGGCGTAATAGTTTTTCTCTTGTCTCGCCAATAAGCAAATCTGTAGTTCCTGAGTCTGAGAGATCTATTTGTGTATGTGTATATCTCTCTCTCTCTACTTCTCCTTGTCCCCCTTCCTCCCTCCCCCCAACCAACCACCCTCACCCACTCCTCCCAAATACACCCGCCTCCTATCTCTCCTTTCAGACATCGAGGGCGGGTACGTCTTCATCGTGGACCGTCTCGGCAGGGCGCTGAAACATCCCCTCCTCCCCGCCCCGCACTCGTGACTGTAGACCCGACCTATGTGACGATAGACAAGCTCGAGATCAGTCCGGGAGTCAGGCACATTCTCGACAAGGCGGTCCGGCAAGAGACGGGGAACGAGGTATTGTGGCTTCAGGCGTCTTGTCCTGCTACTGTATGTATTCTATATATGTAGCTATGTATATATATATATATATATATATATATATATAATATATATATATATGTATGTATATATGTATAGCTATCTATCTATCAATCTATCATTCTATCTATCTATTTATCATTCTATCTGTTTATCTATCTATCATTCTGTCTATCATTCCATCTATCTATCTATTCTATCTACTATATATTTATTATTATCTATCTATCTATATATTTATCTATCTACCTATCTATCTATCCATTGTTTTATCTCTCTCTATATATATATATATACACATATATTTCTGTGTATGTATATGTGTCTATCTATCTGTCTCTCTACCTGTCTATATCTCTATCTGTCTCTACCTGTCTATATATCTGTTTGCCTGTCTAAATGTCCATATGACATTATTAGATTTACATGGCCAATACTTCAGAATCTACATGTTCACTTTTAATTTCACATACCTTATACTCATTTAATTCACACACACATGCTAACTATCCCGCTCTTTTTATCTCCGCCCACCATTCCCCACTCCTCTCCATACCCCTATTCCTTCCCCGACCTCAACCCTCTTCCCTACTCCTCCCCCACCTTAACCCCCTTCCCCACTCCTTTCCTCACCTCAACCCCTCCCCCGGTCTCATCCTCACCCCATCCCACCTCCCCTCCCCGCTCTCATCCTCACCCCATCCCACCTCCCCCTCCCCCGCTCTCATCCTCACCCCATCCCACCTCCCTCCCCCGGTCTCATCTTCACCCCCTCCTCTCCTCCATCCCTTTTACACTTCCCCATCACCAACCCTCTCCCTCACCCTTCTCCCTACCCCTTATCGCCGTCCCTCCCTCCCCTCCCCTCCCCAACAGACCGTAAAAGGGTTGTACGTGGAGTCCTTGGGTTACCCGCGGGGCATCAATATCCCGAGTGCCATGCGGGTACGTCACCGCACCCTCCAGTACCTATGGGCGCCCATCAACGAGACAGACCTCGCCATCGTTGTCGTTCTTCCTGTCAATGAAAATGGGCAGGTGGGTCGCAGGGAAGGGGTGTTTGTGGGTGGGGATGGGGTGTTTGTGGGTGGGGTTGGCAGGTGTTTGTGGGTTAGTGAGTGGGTGAGGGTGTTTGTGGGTTGGGGGTTGGCGGGATGGGGTGTTTGTGGGTTAGGGTGGTGGGCGAGGGTGTTTGTGGGTCGGGGTTGGCGGGATGGGGGTGTTTCTGGGTTAGGGTGGTGGGTGAGAGTGTTTGTGGGTCGGGGTTGGCGGGATGGGGGTGTTTGTGGGGTTAGGGTGGTGGGTGAGAGTGTTTGTGGGTTGGGGTTGCGGGATGGGGGTGTTTGTGGGTTAGGGTGTTTGTGGGTGGGGGTTGGCGGGATGGGGTGTTTGTGGATTAGGGGGAGGGTTTTTTAGCTAGTGGTGTGTGTGTGGGTGAGTCGCAAAGAGGGGTTTTTACTAGGTGTTGTGTGGGAGGGGGTGTTTGTGTGTGTGTTGGAGAGAGGGATTTCAGTGAGTGTTGTGTAGATGCGTGTGTGTATGTGGGCGGGATTTGTGTGTGTGTGTGTGCGCGGGATTTGTGTGTGTGTGCGCGGGATTTGTGTGTGTGTGTATGTGGGCGGAATTTGTGTGTGTGTGTGTGGGCGGGATTTGTGTGTGTATGTATGTGGGCGGGATTTGTGTGTGTATGTGGCGGGATTTGTGTGTGCTTGTATGTGGCGGATGTGTGTGTGTGTGTATGTGGGCGGGATTTGTGTGTGCGTGCATGTACGTGGTTCCTACCTTTTTTTCTTCCTCCTTCAGGTAACGTCCACCGAATACAGCTGCAAGTCGCCAAAGGCCTGTGAGACCAGCCACTTCGAATACAACGAACCCAGAAACAACGTCTCGAGAACATTCTGCAAGTTCGTTGGGATAGTAAGTTGTTTCGGTTTGTTTTGTTGTCATTTTCTCTCTATATTTTTTTCTGTCTGTGTCTGTCTGTCTGTCTCTGTCTCTGTCTCTCTCTCTCTCTCTCTCTCTCTCTCTCTCTCTCTCTCTCTCTCTCTCTCTCCTCTCTCTCTCTCTCTCTCTCTCTCTCTCTCTCTCTTACACACACCCTCTATTTATTTATCTCTGCACCTCTCCACTTCTTTCTTGTCAAATCACCCCCACTACCTATCACTCACATCAACCATCACATATCTTTATCTATAAATCACCATGCCTGTCCTGTGCCCTGTCTCTAAATTATATGACCTCCCATCTATCATTATCCATCATTCTGCCTTAATCCATCAACCATCCTATCTATCATTATCTATCGACTTATCTTTATCTATCATTATCTGTCAACCTATTCGTATCAATCAACCATCACATCTGTCATCATCTATCAACCGATCATAATCCATCAATCATCACATCTATCATTATCAACCACCATCCTTATCTTTATCCATCAACCAATCTATCTTTACTATAAGGCAACATCCCTATCTTTATCAATCAACTAATCTATCATTATCTATCTGCCACTATATCTATCTTATCTATCTGCCACATATCTATCTTTATCAATCACCCAAAAATCATTATCTATCAGCACCATATTTATCTTTATCAATCAACCAATCTATCAGCCACCATATCTATCTTTATGAATCAACCAATCCATCATTATCTATCAGCCACCATATCTATCCAGTGCCCCCCCTCCCTCCACAGAGTGTTGTTAAGGGCGAAGGTTCTCGTAAAATTCGCTCCAGACTGTTTCATTGACGTTTTATCTTACGTCCGTGGAGAGATTGACCCGGCGAAGGTCTATAATTTTCAACGGCACTCTGGCCCCATGATGAAGTGTTGAGGGTAAGTGTTCCTGTTTTCCCCTTATATTGGCTTGATATTTTTGTTTCTTTTTGTTTTTTTTCTGTTTGTTTTATAGTTGATAATATTTTTTTTTCTTTCATTTTTTTTTTAGTTTGATTGGCTTTTCTCAATGTTTTCTTTCTTATTTTGTTGTTTGATTTTTTTCCTTTCTTAAACATTTTTTCTCTTCTCTCCTTTCTCTAAATATAATTTTTCTCTGTGTATTCCACTGTCTTTTGGTTCCTTTCCTGCTCCATCAATCTTTCATTCCCTCCGTCCATCATTTCGTCTCATTTCCTTTCCTCCTTCGGCGACGGCAGGAGGACCTGAGGCCAAGTGTGAAATTCCTCGAGGAGGCCGAAGAGGCCTGGAAGAGCAACCTGAACCTCAGCAACTACATCGGACTCGTTTTATGGGCACGGAGGACGGGAGTTTTATCAGCTTTCCTGGGATTCAGCTCAACCAAATCTTCGACCATAGGGATCTACCATGGTAAGGTTCCTATAGGCTGGACGTAGAGAAATCTTCCGACGACCATAGGATAGAGAGAGACAAAGGAATCTTTCAGCGATGGTCTTGCAAGCTGAACATAAGGATAGAGAGAGATCACGGAGACAAATAGTCAGCTTAATAATAGTTGAACGTCTCTTAACCCGACTGCTCTGACCGGTCTTCCCTCTCGCCAGGTACCAAACAGCTCTCTCGAACACCGAGCCCTCTTCGATCTCCATGACGACCCCTTACTACAGTGAGTTGGGCCTGGGGCTGGTGTGCACGGTGTCCAAGGCCCTGCACGACAATCGGGGAATCCTCAGGCGGTGGTGGCAGGGGACTTCACCCTGCAGTACATCATGACCCACTTCCTCAACCAGGTCCCTTACTGCAAGCGACACACGTGAGAAATGATGATCATCGGCCGGTTTGTTAAAATTGTGTGAGGCCCGACCC